CACAGCCCTCCTGGCCCCCATCAGCCCAGCTCCTGCTGATTTCTGTCTAGTTCCTCTCCACCGACTGACAGCCTCAGCCTGACAAGACCCCAACTCGTGTCCCAACTCCATCACAAAGGGCCATTAAGCAGGATCCGATGAGTATGTGCTTGGTGGACAGTCTGAGCTTTGCCCTTTCCCTGCAGCTGCAGCTAAAAAAAACATGCACAGTAATCATGGACTTGAGTTCAAGACATATAGCCCTGGTCTGGGTTTGAAGCCTTCCCCCAAACCTATAATTCCTTCTGGAAATTACCTAACCTCTTTTAGGTTATTTCCTTTTGAGGATAATTTATAAGTTTTTTTTCCCTGAAAAGATTTAAAGCAGAAACAGGAACTTTAGAATTTTTGTGAGAATTCTATAAGAAATTACATATAGCCCTTGACAACTCCATCCTCTCAAACTTGTGCAAAGTGATGCTTCTGGTGTTCCCATTTCACAGACCAGGAAAGAGGTACTAAAGATGCTCAACTAAATTCTGAGGCGGACACACAAAATAAATATCAGCTCTTTTCCCTGATGAAAAGTGCCACTTGCTTTAAAGAGAAGTATGTAAAATGTTCTTAAGAATAAAGTCAAGGAGTTTTAAGTACCACTGCCCTAAAGTTAAGCACAAGCTTCTGTTCCTGCCATGTGCCAATAAGCAACTGACAAGTCACAAGTATAGAGAGGGACAATGGGACAGGGTGGCAACACGTCTTAGCATAACTGAAGCTTTCAGTTGGCCAGGTCAGTTGTCCCTCTTGCCTCCCGCCTCACACACTTATGATGGGTACGTACATCCAACACCCACCATGGCTCACAAGGCTAATGTACATACCTAGCACAGAATATGAAGTAGGACGTACCGTCTTAGAAATGGACATTACATGCACAAAACTTTCTAATTAAATTTTATTCTCGAAGCTGTTACTGAATCTTTATGTTCTTGGGAGGGTCTTTTGACTGTCTCACCTTCCCTGACCTTAGAGCAGGACTTTCTTTACCTTATTACCTACATGTGCTACTTTCAGTGCCTCAACAGGGCTCAGTCTAAAACGGACGACCCATAATCTGGGGAGGATTATGTACTTTACACCAGGTTTTATTAGCCATATACCATATGCTAGGGACTGTAGGGCAAGACAGTTAACCAGATCCATGCTCTCATCCTATCAGACTCTGAGAAATGAGAATGAGTGAGAAGTGCTCAAGAGAATGTTCTGGAACCGGGGAGATAGCTCAGCAGCATAAGCACCTTCTTGGCAAGCACAAGGACCCATGCCACTCCAAGACTGGACATGGTGGCACAAGCCTGTAATCTCAGCACTAGGGCGGCTAAGACAGGAGGATCACTAAGAGTCTGAACTGTGTAGAGAGCCTGTAGAAAAAAAAAAAAAATAGGCTGGGGAAGATAGCTCGATGGTCTAAGCACCTGCCTGGCAAGTGCAAGGACCCAGGTTTGATCCCTGGTAGCACATACCAGGCCAGCCCTAGAACCACATGCATGCAGTTCCAGCCACCAAAACCGGGCGTTGTGGCACATGCCTATAATGCCAGCACTGGGGAGGCAGAGACAGGAGGATCACTATAGTCCAAGCTGTGTAGTGAGACTGCGTACCAAGTAAATAAATAAAAGATTTTTTTTTTTTTTTTTTTAAAAAAAGAGAATGTTCTGAAGTAAGGATGCCAGGCTCTGGCCCTGCCAAAGATTAGAAAGCTAGGTTTTCTCCAGCCTGTCCTACAGTCCTTTGCTAGGTTTTCTCCAGCCTGTCCTCCAGTCCTCAGAGTGCAGTGTCAGAAACTCAGATTATCACTTCCCAGTAGCAGGATGGAGTCTGGCAGTTATAAACCAGAGTACCATTTTATTCCTTCACAGTGGGAAACTTGGCATCAGGGGCCATCTTCACAGAACAAATGTGCCCCTGGGAAAATTCATTCAAGAGACTAAATGAAAGATTAGAAAGCTATCCAACAAACTCAGATGCTCAAGTTAGTTGGGAACACAGCTAGTGTCTTAAAACCTGCACTTAAGAAGCCTGATTAAGGTACTGTAGCTTTAAAGTTTGTGAGTTACTTGTTAACCTGAGTCTCTAAACTTCTTAAAACACCACATTTAAGGGCTGGAGAGATGGCTCAGTAGAATAAGCCAAGCGCAAGGGCCTGAGTTCAATCCCCGATTCCGCCAAAACAAAACAAAAAACAAAACACCTCATTTAACAAAAATTAGACATACAGGTATGGGAACTAGTTCTCAAAGACAGTAACATGTCAAACAATCCAAGATGGACAGGTACATGATAGCAGAGTCTTAGGAAACAGATACCTTAGAGGCAGAGAGGAGGCAGATTCCAAATGCAGAATGACCAGAGATCAGGAGCTAAGGAAAGAGGTGCAAGCGCTAGTCCATCCACCAACTGCAAGCCAGACAACAACGACATTCTGCAAGCAGAAAACGATCCGAGACCTTGGTGTGCACGCAGCATGACTGCCAAGCCGTCTTGGTAGCAGCCCAAAGAAATGCTCTTCACGGAACAAATACGCTGCAGCCAGCAGGGCAGGTGTCAGCTCCTGTCCCTGGGTCCTCTGCCTCCTGGCAACTACTGGCAGTCCCCAGCTTCCTGTACTCTACAGCACAGGCCTCTAATTGCAGTTCAGTGTCTGGAAAGATCTGCCTAAATGTCAAACTCATCAAATGACCTCCTCGCTGACCGCTGTAGTGGAGACACCGCCCTCCTCTCCCCACCACCACCCACACCCTGACTTGTTACTCCACAGCACTAATTGCCACGTGACATGCTCTTCTGCTTATTTATCCACTCTCTTCACCAGCTTTTAAGCTCCATGGAAGATTTCTGTTGTCCACTGTTCTGTGACATGCCTGGCATAAAGTAGGCGCAAACATCTTTATGAATGGACAAATAAAATAATAGCTCTAATCCCCAAGATAGTGGGCACACGGGGGAAAATTTTCTGTAGGAGGCCGACTTCCAACAGCACACTATCCAACAAGACAGTGAAATGAGAGACCAGTGTTGTCTGAAACCCATCACTTTAATGACTTCTTCATCTGTGCTGACTTCTCCCCTCAAAATTCCTTTGAAAAGCCAGGACTTTGTATGCCCCAAACCAACTCCCAAATCCCATCTTTACTTGCTTTTCATCTTTGCCAGCTTCAGAGTTCCCAGCCTAGAAGACAGAACACTGGAGGGAAAGTGAAGCGTTGACGGGACAAAAGTGATGATGACACACTCCATGGTTCCTTTCTGTGTTTCTTCTCAGACCAATTCAAAACCTCCAAAATAAGGTCAAGTAACACTTGTACTTGCACAAGCTCTTTAGAAAGACTTCCTGGATCTCCGACACCAGCCAGGTGTCCCCACCATGGGGAAGGGTAGAGAGGACACCTAGCTTCATTCCAATGGTGATGAACAGCCCTATGGTATGAACTGGCTATGGGCAGCCCAGCGCTACCGCAGAGGGACAGGCCAGACTCATAGCCCTCTGTCCTCATGTCATTAAGCCCCAGCTCCTCATTCTGGTCAAAGGTGCGCTTGTAATGCTCCACCTTCATTTCTGGGTCGTCATCTGGTGCGTAGACATTCTGCAAGGCCGAAGGCACACAGTCAGTACCAGCGCCACCCTGCCACACCCCTGCTGAAGACAGCTGCCAACTTCTCCTTTCCTGAGAACTCCAGGAGCTGCGTTCCGGCTTTTTATGAGTCTTCAATCCCCACTGGCCAGGCTGACCCACTGGACAACAGAGTGGGACAGCCCGACCCCAGACGGAACCACAGAACAGTTACCCTAAAGCATTGTATATCTGCACTTTTCTGAGAAAAGTGTGGCAATGGTCTTAATCTTGGGAAGAACTTACAATAGTTTTCACCCATAAAAAATGCCCAATAAATGTTAAAGTTACATCAGTCACTAGACTATCTCTATAGGCCTCTTGGTTTTCCTATCTTAGTCCCTGGAGAGGGTACCATTTCTTCTTATTCCAGTCAGACTTGCAGAATAAAAACTCCAGAACTTGACTAGAGAAAGAGGCCAGGAAACAGCCTACGTTTCCTTCTTCATACACACTTAAAATCCCTCCCACCTTCCCTTTCTCCCTTATTCCTAACTTCCACCAGAAAGTCCCTGATGAAAAACAGTGCGCTCAGCACCAATCTTTCAGTTTCTGAGGACACATGTCTGAGGAAGATGAACACACTGACCCTACGCAAACACCTGGGAGGCTGTCCTACCTGCAAGTAACTGTTTCCTGCTGGGTCATTCATAATGAAATGGGCCTTGATGTGACCCTCGATGATCTACAGGAAAGAACAAAAGCAAACGTTACTTAGCTCCTGCTACAAAAAGGCTATGACTGCCAGACAAGGGCCAGCCCAACTTATCCTGCAGAATCCTCAGTTTAAGAACTGGAGGGGCCGGGGATGTAGCTCAGTGGCATGGTGCCTCTGGCAAGCACAAGGTCCTGAGTTCTATTCCCAGCACAGAAAGAAAAAAAAAAAAAAAAAAACAAAAACCAAGTTAAAAAGCAAAAACCAAGAAACTTGTCTT